CATGCTGAAAACACTGATTTATTGCACCCCAGTGTGAATAGGCATGTCTAAGGACAGAGTGCACTACATTTTTAGATGTCAGAAATTGTGAATTTTTGTTAACATATTTCAAGTGATTACATGTCTTCTAACCGAAAGGCTTTCTTTTCAAACTTTCCATTTTAAGCTGAATTAATTTATACTAAAAATTACAGCTTGTGAAAGGTCAGAATAAAAATGAAGTACTTTTGGATTTACCAAAATAAGACATTTTGATTAACCTGCATTTTTGTACAATTTTCACTTGTATTTTACCACAGCATGTGGGAAAAAAAACCCTGAAATTTTGAGAAACTCTACAGAATAGGGTTCCTACTTACCTCTTAGCTCTAAGAGTAGGGGCCTGGCCTCATGAATTGCACAGAGTAAAAAGCATTGGCCAGAATTCAGAATTAAACTTTGCTACACATAAACCTTGTGACATTTTTATTACAGCATACCAGCCTCGAATCTGCATTTAAAACACTGACTGTTCAAAGGAATCTAAATCTCCTTAGCTAAATGTAATAAAATCAAGTCAAGAATTCACTGCTCCACAATCCACCATTAGCATTTCTGTTCAGAGAAAATGTAGTTCATCTGTTTTTAAAGAAAGTAAAGCTGGGCCATATAGCTTGGAAAGTATAATGATTTGCTCGTGTATGAAAGTCCGTTAGGTAACAAGTTTTATTTCCTCATAAAGAGATTTCAGTGAATCTGCATCATTATTTTTTTACAGTACACACAGTATTTCTGGAAAACCCAGAGGTGGGGCTGCATTGCTATGAACACAACCCATGCTTGCTTTCAGCTAGGCAGCTTGGCCACCATTAGCAATGTAATCACACAGCAGAGAGCACAAATGGTCTGAGCTTTTATCCTGGTTTCAGACAATTCTTTTCAATCCTGATGAACTGTGTGTTCCCAGGGCCATGCCACTGCCAGTTGTAAAACCGGCCAAAGTTACCTCTGACACTTCAGCACAACCCAAGGTTACAACTAACCTTAAGGATCCTAAGCTCTGCCGGAGAACTAAGCCATCACTTCAATTGACCATAGAGTTAATTTGTCACACCGGTACCTAGGGACATCTCTAACTGATTTCTCTGGCCAGGACCTCCTTAACACCAGGTTTCTTTAAGAAATCTCAGATTAAGTCATTAGTTTGGGGAGAAGGGGGTGTTTGTTGTTTTGGTTTTGGTTTTCTTCAAATCTCTGGGTTAGCACCTCTAAGAATTCATTAACTGATGCAGATTCCCTCCTTTGAGGTATATCACAGTGCTCTTGAGAATAAAGTAGTACAGCCAGTTGATGCTGGCCATAACAAAGGGTTTTTTTTTCACTTGTCAATGAGGCAACATATCTTTCGTTCAATTTGTTTGGGTTCTTAATGGTGGAAGCAGAATTTAATTTGTACTACGAGCATCCTTTAAAATAAATGTTTGATCTCTTCCCACCCACCATTACAGTTGATGGGTACAAAATAAAAAGAGCAGCAATTCATTCACCTTATCTCCAGAGCACCAGAGGAAGAGGGAGATTCTTAGTGCAATGATTAATGATTCACAATAAAAAGATGCATCATAAACGGCTTGTATTAGGTCAAATCATAAACTAGGCTTTTAATGTTTATATGATCCCTTCTAAATAATCGTGCTGGTAGCTCTCACTAGGAAGGGAACTTGCATGATGCCTGCCAACCATGCAGTTTCTTACAGGGTCATAATTTAGGACCTTCAGTTAAAGGGATCCCTGTCTTCCTCTACATGCAAGCATTGCTTGAATTTCTCTTACTATTGGGACATGTCTCTGTACTACAGGTCAGAGAGACTATTTGATGTCCAGGAACAGCAAAGATGATCTACCCTGAGTTTAGGGTGTCTTCTTCAGGCACAGTTACACCCACAGTTTTGCTGCAGGAGAAAGTATCATCACCTTTCTTTATCTCTGCCTCCAGGTCGGGAAAAGGACAGCTGAACCAGAGCTGAAATGAAAACAGGTTTACGTACTGCTCACTGGATCCACGCGCACAGAAGGAGGCAGAGCAGTGGTGTGGTGCTTGTCTGAATGCAGCTAACAAGCCAAGTTGCCTGTATTTGTGAAGGGCACCTCATCCATACAGGACAGCACCGATGTGACTTGGTAAATGCCTGGCCAAAATCAGCTTTTAGGTGCTCACAGACAGGTCCCATCAGCTTCAGTAGCTGGTCGGTGAACACTAAGAGAATAGCACCGTTTGTCCATAACAGCATTCAGTCCTGTATTTATCCATCTTGTGGTGAAACTATCATTGTTGAAAAATATAGTACAAGATGATATATGTAAGCGTCCATCTATTTCCTTACTATCACAAGCCTGCAATCATGTCCATCTCCCTTTTATTTCCCAGAACAGCTGGTTCTTTTTCTCAACCAAACCAGAATCTCCCTGGCAAACAGACATTGCCTTCACTGCAAAGCTGTCCCATTAGGAGAGTGTCACAGCTCTAACCGATACAAGGTTTACACAAAAAATAGCATGAGTTTTAAAAGAGCTGCAGAGCCCCAAATAGTTTCAACAGATGTGGTAGCTCCCGCTCCCATCGGTTTATGCATTGCTTACTCAATACAGAAAATCACTTAGATTAATTATTTAAATATTTCCATCTATGGAATTTAGAAAAGGGAAAACCAATAGTGGAATACCCAAGATGATGATTTTTTAATAAACAGTAGATTTAAGGGGGATTAGCTGGGTTATCAAACAGTGTCCTCCCAAATCAGCTAATTTGTTTCACTAACTTTCCCAATTTCACTTTATTAAAACAATTTAAATGACTCATTAGATGCAATGTAATGTAATTCAGACACTCCAAGCCTAATCCTTTTTCTTTTAGCAATAATGTGATAATTTTCAAAAAAGTCTAAAGGATTATCGTTACAGCTATTTTAAATAGGGACTGTTTTCAGCCAAATGTGTGCCACAACTTCCATACCATTTTATTATTTATTATTATCTTATTTCTTGCTCTTTATTCATTCATTCATTCATTCATTCATTCATTCATTCATTCATTCATTTATTCCTTCCCTTTTCTGTCTTTCATTGCTCCACACAAGCGGAGTCACACAGGGGCAACAGCATCCCTCTGTGCAGGTGTAGGGGATATGCCAAATATCCCCACGTGGGTCACTGCACCAGGCCTTGGGAAAGGAGTGAATTTTTGCAATTTACTTTGAAATTCTGGAGCTAAAAAAAAAAACAAAACAACAACTTTGTAAATTCACAATGATTTTATAAATACCCTAGAGGAAAGGGAGAAGGTTCCTGTGCATTTTCATGCTGCTGGTTTCTGACAGCTCTCAAAGACACACAGGAGGGATCATGTGGAGGACTTGCAAATTAGGAGGCTGACACTGTACATTACTTACCATGCTAGATCCAGGCTGCAAACACAGAGCAACAGATCCATACTATGGACATGCAGCTTATTTCACAATGAACTCGCTCATACTCCTGTACGTTCATAAAACCTTTGTCAAACAGTACGGTTTTAATTATTCTTTATAGGACAAAAAACTCCTGACTAAAAAAAACCCAACCCCAAAGAATGAGAGCTGGTTTCTTCAGACTTTAACAGATTCCTTATCCCTGAAAACCTGTCCTCAGTCACTTCAAATCCTCGTCTCTTCAAGCAAGTGCCATTTCATAATCCTATTAAAACCTTTGCCTCTGTTTACTAGGAGCCCTAATCGTACTCAGCAAGTTCTTCTCATCTAAGGAAGAGCGACAGCTTTCAGATTTCTTAGGAGGTTTATTCATCAACTATGCCAGAGTTTTGCCAGAGCGTTCAATCTATTGTGTAAGCAGCCATGTGGAAAAAGTTTCAAACAGCTCAAAGCCCTGCACAATGATAAAGGAAAGCTCACACAATCCTGGTAATAGCCTGACCCTCTTAAGGAAAATTGGATGATTTGTGGTAGCAGTTTTTCCGTCCCCTATGTGAATTCTGAACCTTTAGGTATACGCAGTGTATTCACACAGTCCCATTACAAACCCTATCCCTCTTGTGATGCCGGAATAATAAATACACACCCATATGTGAAAATAAACTCTTGCTGCAATGACCTTCCTCCTCAGCCCACTGGTGTGAAGGAGTTTGTAGCCATTTTAGAAAAAAATCAGATAAAGAATGGACTAATTTGATGTTCAGTGTTTCACCATGAGCAGAATATATGCTTTAATGAGCACATTACATGCACCAGGGACGTGTTACTGTGAAGCAGGGAATAAAGAGTAAGGGGAAAATAATTAAACAGTCAGCTTTATAATGAGGAAACTGTGTTCATGCAACATTAAGTGGCCTAATTTTCAAGTACTAAGCAAAGACATGTTCCTGGGCTTCAGAAGGACTTGCTGGCAAGCACCACCTTGAAAACAAGGGCAAAGAATCACAAGTATCAAAACTCCTACAGGTCCAGAAGCACGGGGCAGACCCATGCTGTCCCCACTTTGCACTGACCCATACGACAGGATCGAATACTTGTAACCCTGTAGTTCTTATTCTATAAGGAGGACCCGCAAAGTTTCAAAATACCACAGCATTCATCACGCATGGTGTGTAGAACTGACTTAAGTTTTTTGCTGATACTGTGTCTGCTAGGGCACAAGCATGCAACCTCACCTAGGTGCAATGCACACATAAAGACTTAGTGTAGCTGTTTGCACAAGCAGAACTACTGGGAAAGGGGAAAATCTGTCTCACTGGGTCCAGACACTGACAGAATAAAACAATACACCATATTTCTGACTGTTATCAGTTCTCTCAAGGCCAGTAAGGCCAGGAACATTCATTTACTGGGACTGTCAGTTCCAGATAGTGTTGCAGTATCAATTACTTCAGTGTAATAGCCTATCAGTCAGACAGCACTTCTGTTGGGCCACAGGCTCCCCGTCTTTCTTTGCAAATGGGCATGGCACGAAGTCTCTTCTTCATTACTCACCCTCATGCCTAATTCGATGTTTTCTCCTCCATAAACCTCCATACCAGGGTCAAGCAAGCCAATCTCACCAAAATACTCTCGGTCCACTACAAACGAGCATCCAATCATGGCTGGTGTCCTACAGAGAGATTAAAGCAAAAAAATTAAGTCATTTATTAGCTTCTACAGAGCCCACCTCATAACAAATCTACACAGACAGTTCTTAGTCTTCAAGCTGACATTTTAGTTTTATCTATTAGTGTGCAGCCACATTGCACTTCATGCCCCAACAGACAGAGGACCTCGTGGGACCAGAGCCACCCAAATAACTAGCACACTGCCAGACACACCTGGACCAGCTGTCTATGAGACAGACACAAGATCTGAAGTCAAGTAATCCATGCATGTAAGTGAAGCATCAGGCTGGTTTTCTTCTGATTTTATAGATAAAACTTCTGTGCTGGAGCTGAAGTTCACCATCATACAGCGTAGAACAAGAAGTAGACAACACTTTATCTGAAGATTAATACACAAAAACAACCCCATAACCCTTGTTAGAAATGAGGAGTCCCCTTACCCACATATTAAAAGTAAGTGCATGTTGAGGGCCATGGACCAACCATAGTGTAAAGTTTGGCGAGGGATCTCCTGGAGTTAACTCTAGCAGATACATTTCAGCCTTTGTGAAGCTGTTCCATGATTAACACTTCTATGGTTCCTGAGGTCAGTCTTTAGGAAAGGAAGAATTTTCAGATGGAGAGTCTCTGCCCTCAGATCTGCCACTGACCAACTGGGTGATTTCAGATAAATCATTTCCCTTCTCTGAGCATCAACTTCTTTACGAGCAAAACTATGGTTCTGCTCCCCTCCAGACAGAAATCTGAAACCTGTCACTGAGCAGCACTACATGACAACAAATTTTGAGATCATTTACCATATGAACACCAGCATTGTTTCAATGCAATACAAACTAGTGACTTTAGCTGGTTTCATTTGTCCACATTTTCTTTGAATCTCTATACTCGTCACAACACCTATATCTTTAAAATTCAAGGTAGGACATAGCTTTTGCTACTAAAGCCCACAATTTAAAAATGTAAATTGACTAAATTTAAGGTGGAAAACCAACAAGAGCCTTCAGCTTCATGTTTGACTTGCAATTCAGCTGCACGTTGCATAGTGCTGTTGTGGTTTAAGCCCAGCCAGCAGCTAAGCACCACAGAGCTGCTTGCTCACTCATCCCAGTGAGATGGGGAGGAAAATTAAAAAAAAAAAAAAAGTAGAACTCAGGGGTTGAGATAAGAATAGTTTAATAAATGTAATAAAATATAATAATAATAATAGTAGTAGTAGTAGTAGTAATGAAAAGGAAGATAACAGAGAGAAATAAAACCAAAGAAAGACAAGTAATGCAATTGCTCACCACCACTGACCGATGTCCAAGCAGTGATCTGCACCCAGCCAACCCCCCCATTTCTATACTGAGTGTGACGTCCCAGGGTGTGGAATAGCCCTTTGGCTACCTGGGGTCAGCTGTCCTGGCCATGCTCCCTCCCAGCTTCTTGTGCACCTCCTCGCTGGCAGAGCACGGGAAATTAAAAAATCCTTAATTTAGGATAAGCACTACTTAGCAACAACTAAACCAGCAGTGTGTTATCAACGTTATTTACACACTAAATCCAAACCACAGCACTGTACCAGCTACTAGGAGGAAAATTAACTCCGTCCCAGCTGAAACTAGGACAAGTGCCTACTGCAAGATCATGGGTAGTCATCCTGCAGTCTGATCTACAGGATGTGCCCAGGCCCTGGGGACAGACACCACCCCC